TGCTCTTATTATTGTTATGTAAATTTTTATAGTTTCCCCATCATTTAGTTGCCTTCACACACACACACACACCCACACACAGACACACTCACCAGCCATGCAAAGCAACAACAACAAGAGGAAGCATGTCTAAACGCTTTTTCAATTCCAACCAACATCCAACACGGTAAAGCGCTCAGTTGGAGTTTTTCTGGCGCTTCGTTTGCTTTTGAAGTAGAAAATTAAATTTTTATACACACACTAAAAAATATCATGCAAAGTCAAAATGCATACATTATAGATGTACTCGTGTTCGTGTGGCTGTGTCTCTGTGTGTGTGTGTGTTTGTGCCTTAAATTGGAGAGCGCGCGCGCGTTTTGCGCCTAAATGTAGGCAATGAAATTTCCGTTTCACTGACGACCTCCCTCAATGGCTCGAACATCAACAACAACAACAACAAAAACAGCAACAACAATAGCAGCAACAATAGAAACACGAACCTTTTGTCTGTCATTTGTTCTGAAAATTGTATGCAATAAATAAAAATTACACGTTGAACATTTTTTTATCTCGCTTTTGTGATCTGTCCGGCAGTCGGAAGGGGCGAACAGAGAGAGGGCGTGGCAAAGTAAGGCCACAACAGCAAGAACAACAACAACAACAACACAAATGGCGAACATAAATAGGCTATGGCTATGGATGCTCAGCATGTCGACGGCGGCAAATAGTCAACGGCATAAAAATTCATTTCTCTTTAACCCTTTACTTCAGGCTTGGTCTGTGCGTTGTCGTTGCCGTTGCCGTTCTTGTTGTTGCTGTTCTCGTTGTTTTGGGGCAACTGCCACCGCTTTCTTTCTAATTGGATATATTTAACAAAGAAACTTTGCCAGCAACATTCACTTTGGCATTGACTTTGGCTTTGGCTTTGGCTTGAGCCTGGGCTTCAGTTTTTGAGCGACAAATTCCTTAAAACTTGAACCATTTTCAAAATAAAGAAAATGTTGACAGCGGATTTTTTGGTATGCGCACAGCATCACAGCAATGCAAAGACATTGTCCGTGCACCCTCCCGCTCCCCTTCCCCTCCTCCGCAGCCACAATCCATCGCCACCACCATGGTCTCACCGCACTCACTAGCGCTCCGACAGCAGGCAATCAGAACTTATGTTTACCCCAATTAAGGTGAACACGAGACCGTTTTTGCGATCCAATGAGTTAGAAACAAGATAAAGGACTAAAGCCATACAACGGCAATGGCAACAATAAACCGGTTCAAACCCAGGCCCAGGCCCAGGCCGAATCGGCTCCGGCCCAGCAACAACAAGGAATAGCTAAGGCAACAGAAACTTTCTCGACATCAATGCCCAACTGATGGAATTCAAGGAGGAGTGGGAGATGGGCGATGGACGATGGGAGAGGGACAGAATGACGTCTGCGTCGCTGCTGGCCATGCATGTTTATGTGTCGCAGCCCAAACAATGCATAGCGCACAGCCGTTAGCCAGATCCTTTAGTCCCACGCTTGCCCCCCTGCCCTCCCACGTCCCGCCCATCATAGCCAAACGAGTTGCTCGAATGCCCGAGCAATGATTAAAAATTGTGCAAGCGTGAGGCTGGGCAAGTGGCGAAAGGGGAGGGCCAGTTGAGCAGGCTATTGGCAGAAAAAAATATATATATACTGCTACTCGTACTCAGACTCGTATTCGTACTCGTACACACAGCTGTGGCGCATAAAAAGCAACCAAGAAACATCCCCATACACAAATCCAATGCTACCCGTCAGGCGTATACGAGTACTATAACAAAATCTGAATCACATAACCATAATTAAACGATTTCAAATAAAATTTAGTTTACTTAAAAGGAACGGAAATATTTAAATAAATTAAAACGTGAGATATATTTAAATCATACGAGTAAATAAGTACTAGACGTGTAGGAACAAGAAAGCTGATTTCACTCAGTTATGCAGCAACATTTTAAAATACTAGAATTCGGACCGGTGTGTATACGCTTTGTAACACATACTGTAGCTGGCACATGCATTTGTGGCCATCATGGCTGGGTGTGGAGCAAAATCCAAAGCAAAGTCATTCGTTTTTATTATCATTTGCATGCGGGTCCAGTTGGCAGCGGAGAGTAGTGTATTGTGGAGTCTGTTCCGTGTCCCGCCATACGCGTGCTAGCCAGCGATCTGTCGAAGCTTAGGCGGTCCAGAGCCAACCAATCTCTAGCAGCAGGAGCCACTGTTGGCAATTGCTACAATCAGACCAGACACTGGCCAGTCAGAAGAGTCGGGCAATTCATTTTCGAAGCTACCTGCAGCCTTTGAGACACATACACAAACACACATACATACATACATATTTTAGTGGCAGCACGTGGCAACCCTTCTGCGCCCATACGCCCCATCGGCTCGTGGGCTCGCCTGCTCGTCCGCTTGTCCGCTCGTCCGCCTGTTGTTTAATACTCATTAGCCATAACGACCCTAGTCCTATCGGCGGTGCCCATCAGCCACGCACAGTGACAGATCAAAGCTCAACCTGTGATGGCCGTTCGGCCCGTTTCAGGGGAGGCCCTGAAAACGGCACTTTGTTTTGTGCAGCATGATCCTTTGTTACCTCCAAGGCACAGCCGTCAGACAACCACTTGGAGTGGACGACTATTCCGACGGCGACGATGTGGCCTATCTGGGCTTTTCCACTATTTACACAGTTATTTTATGTAGTTCGATTGGCAATTTAACTCGAATGTTTGCCGTTCTTGTTGCTACAGTTGTTGTGGCCGGGCTACAACGCTATACATGCCAAGCAGGCATGCAGGCAGTAGGCAGCAGGCAGCAGGCAGAATGAACGAACGTCTGTTGATGAACTGATATTAGAGGATATGTTTAGACATACCTCCACCTTACTGATAGCACTTTAGAGTTAATCAATCGTCCATAATGACACAACAGATCGACATTCAGTCCCAAAAGTGTCCCAATGACACCCACCCGTTTGCTGAAGAATTTTCTAAGGGACTTAACCAATAATTTTCTGGTTCGTTTTTGAAAACATACTGGAGTTCAACGTAGAGTTGCTCAAGACTCACCAAAATACAAATATCCTTATATAATTATTAAAAGACGAGAACACCCTTGTACCCTTCGGGTACTGACTAAAGCATATACTACAAAGACATAAGTAGAATTGATGAGGGTGCTGTGGAAGTACAAGTAGGAGGCCTTTCTGGCACAGCTTTAAGTGTATTTTTCCACAAACTCTGGATTAAGCCAGACTCCACATTTTCGGCACATCGTCTGGACAGGCCTTAATGCTAAATTTTTTTGTTTATTGGAGCGCCTAAGCAACCTCGGCGAGCACACAGAATACCTTTCATTTTCATGCCATGTGCCTCGGAGCACTTTGTTACTGAGATTGCGAGTGAGTCGAAGAAGGAGATGGGGCCGCGCCGCATACTGAGACGATATAGGCAAATAACGGTACAGAACAGAAGTTGCTGCTAGTTAGCGAGCATAGGCAGCTGTCCTGCGGTACTGAGGAACTGAGGAAGTGAGGAACTGGTAGTGGGAGTGGGAGTAGGAATCAGTGTAGATGTGGCTGGGGGTGGGGGTGGTTGGGAGGCCACTGTCTTGTACGAGTAATTGGGTAGCACAGTATCGGGTTTTGAATCTTCACTTTGTTCGAACAAAAATCAAAAGCATGAAATGTTCTTTATACTTTTCGCTTGTACTCGTAGTCAGCTCAAAGTACTTACGCGGTCTAACGTTGTTGCTGTTGTGTTGTTGTTGGTGTTGCTGTTGCCTTTGTTGTTGTTGCTGTTGCTTTTGCTGTTGTTGCAACTGCTTTTTGTGAGGCAGCTAAAAGTTAAGTAAGGAGCGCCGCCCATGTGTGTGAATGTGAATGCGAATTTACATATATACTTGTTCTTGTATTTGTGTGTGTGTGTGTGTGTGTGTGTGAGTGTGAGTAGCGATGTGTCGACTCGAGTCGCTCAAACGCAAAGTCGCAACAAATGGAAATTTTGTCAAGCTTGAAATCCTTTTATAATGACAAAAGGTTTCACCTCTAAGCCGATTACAGCAACAGCAACACCAGCAGACAGTGACATTGGCAGGGACGGCAATGGCGATAGCGATGGCAAAGGCAACACTTTGTATTGGTGCCCAGCTAGTCCGCAGCATACTTTTGGGCAGCACTTACCCACAGACGGCTCTGCGCCGGCATATCGCTGTTTAGTGCGAGTATTTGAAACTTTCAATAACAAAAACAAAGCGTCAGGAAACAAGCACGGCTCAACAAAATAGTAGCCTGTTAGGAGTGAGGCGAGAACAACAGGAAGAAAAGAAGTGTGAGGAGGAATGAGGAAAGAGGAAAGGGAAAACAAGCTGCCAAGTGCGTATGTGTGTGTGCGTGAGTATATCGGTGTGGTAGTTGGGACCCAAGCACCTACTTTTTTAATTAGTTTCGCATGGCGCATGGAAAAGCCCCATAGCGTGAGCAAAGGTAGGAGATGGAGGGCCAGGACTTAAGGTACAAAAAAAAGCTAAGAGCTGCCAAAGCGTAAAACAAGTGCAGACTGGAAACAAACACACACACACACGCACTAACACACTTTAGAGTGTGCAAGTGGGGCTTTGCTTCAATTTTCGCTTCATGGCGTACGAAAGAGAATGTGGAGAACGCCGTTGTATGATAATTTTTTTGAGTGTTCAGAGTCCTGTAACTTAACAACAATCCATACTCTAGTATAAGGCGCCAAGTTTCTAGAAGCTAAATATGCATATCTCCAATGTCTGCCAACTCGAGATATTTTAACTTGCATGCACAGCTCTAAGCTATCGGGGCATAAGTAGTTATGTTGCGTCACCCAGTAAGTTTTTTATTTTTTCGGGATACATAAAGAAGAAGTGGATAATCAACTATATTAAGGGGACGGCGAGTTCAAAGTTATCGGTTCTTATGGCTTTTAAAGTACAGCTCCCTCCATAAGCTTTAAGTAAGCGAGCTAAAACTTTAACTATGTTATCATTATTGTGCCATTTATTTAATTTGTTCATAAACCTAAGAATGCTGTACCGTCTCAATATGAGTGTGTTGTTTGTGTTGTTTGTGTTGTGGGTTTTCATCCAATTTTGTTTTAGAATGTGCAGCATTCACTTGCGTGATTAATATCTCGCAGGGAGGGAAACAATTAATGTGTATGGGGTAAATTTTTTTAAAAGATCCACAACATTGTTGAGCATACTTTGCGCCCCCTTTAAGGTATTGGAAAGCACTCCACATAATGCGTCGGACACTTTAATATGAATTTATCAGATTAGTCGGCATTGGGTCCATCACCATCTCCACCGTCTATGTAACGATTATCTCCGAAGGTGACGTGCAAGTTGCGGGCTGGCGAGACTGGGCTGGAATGCTGTGGGGCTTGCGATGCTGAAAATCCAATGCGTATGCCGCTGAAAGATGGCGCATCCTGGGCGCTCTCCATTACCTGAGGCAGCGCACCGGATGTCATAGTCATGCAGCCCGTGCGCATATTGTCAGTGTCGTGGGCGGTGGTCAAATGATGGTTGATATTGGCCACGCGATCCGGATGGGCCGATGGCACTGACACGCACAGTGGACAGATGACCAGGGCCATGTCGTTGCTGTGCTTCTTCTGCACATGCTTGATCAACTCCTTGTTGGTGTGGCCCATCGCTCCGCATATCGGGCAAGTGTAACTATCGGCGCAAAGGTTCGAAATCGGCTCGCCGGCAAAGAAGAGCTCGCGAGCGGCGCGATCCAGCAGACACTGGAAAGCATGGGTGTTCTTGTGGGCCCCGGACTCCACTTCGTTATCGTAGCAGACCTGGCAGAGGTCGTAGTCGGGACAACGCAGGCACTTGTAGCGGAAGTGAACTAGATTGGTGTTGCCGCAGCCATCGCAGTTAACGTTCCAATGCATCGCCATCTACAAAGGAGAGCAGCTGCCAGTTATTCCTTCCTCTCTGATGTTTGTTTAAAATAAGAGTACTTACTTGTACGTTTCCTAATTTTCGTAAAATAAAGATTTTCAAACAGATTGTTGTTCCCTTCAACGTGGCAGGATGTGAAATGAACATTTCAAGTCGCTGCAAAACACAGGTGCAGCATAGCCTACTACCACACGATATTTTTTCCTCCACAGCCTGCTACAAAACGAGTATTAAGTGCTTGCATTAGCAGTGCTAACAATTCTGTTAAGCAACACTCAACACTCAAGGATTTGACTTATTATTACAACTCTGTCTATACTGTGTACACTGTACACGATTGGTCGATAAAAGGTGTTTGAAACATAATAGCTCGGAGGAAGTCATCGAGAATCCGTCCTCCACTAATTTTATCAGCACTGAGGTGCCCTTTGCCAGCACATTCTATTCACTTATAAGATGCCCTAAGATGCAAATCCAATCTGATCCTTCCTGAGATCGCAAGCAGTCACAGGACTCAATGCAATTGGAAAAGGAAATAGCACGACAAGTTTGCAGCAATTGATGAATATTTGATATACGACATATTAGTAATTTGCTACAGAAGCCTAATTTGGTGTCCAGATACGAGTATCTCCTCTAATTGACAGAAAACACATCTTTGCTAAAAATAGAGTGATAACGTATACATGGAAGAATGGGCACGTGTCTAGGTGTTCATATATTCTAAGCGGATTCAGTACAAAGAGGATAATAACTTGATTGACCTTTTCCTTTTAACATCAATGTACGTCTTTGTGTTATTTCATGCACCTATTATTATTGTCCTTATCCAAACTTGTACACACACACACACACACACACACACTGGTTTGACCTTTTGACCGGTATCGACAGAGTCGGCTCTTGTTTGCCTTCCTGCCGCCATCATTCCGCTTACTGCTGACTGCTGACTGGTCGCTGCTATCGCCACTCTCTGCTCTCTGCTCTCTGGTCTCTGCTGTGTACTCCGTACTCTATGCTCTGTATGCATAATACATCAAAATTCGTTCCGTTTGTTCGCGCTTTGTACATAAATTTCATGCAAATTGACTAATTAATTTTTGCGCAATGGATTCTTATCGTGCAATGCACTGCACGGCGCGGCACAGCTATATAAACATAAAATATTTGCATAATGCATGTGTGTGCAGCGAAGTGTGTTTATGCTTATATGCATACGTACATATATCTGTATATATAAATACATATATATGTATGTGTGTGTGTGTGAGTGCAGAATGCGCCTCAAACGCCGCTCTGCGATGCGGGCACCCACGCACTTCCTCCTGCTCCCAGGACGCAACTCAGCTTAACCCAACCCAACCCAACCCGACCCGACCTAACCCAACCTAGCACAGTTCAACTCAAAGTGCAGGCAGTCCCCGGCAATGTCAGCCTCGTCGTCAGCGTCGTCGTCGTCGTCAGAGCACAAACAACAATTTTAATGACGGATATTAAGCATAGCCACAACTATAGCTAACAGTAACGGCAGCCGACGCCGGCATAAAATTTACAATACCTTCGTGTTTTTTCAGCAGACACACGGTGCATGGATCGCTGTTGTTGTTGTTCTTGTTGTTGTAGCCCGGGCAATTGAGCTACCATTTAAAAGTGTGTCCTGACTCTTACAATTTGCCTGTCTTGGCTTTAAACAGTGGCTGCACATGTGGTTGCGAGGGGCATAGGGTGGCGGAGGGAGAGGGGAGGGGGGTGAGCGAGCTCTGCCAAATATGTTGATTGCAACAATAATGATGATTATGTTTGCCTGCCTGCCTGCCTGCCTGCTTGCCTGTTTAGCGTGGCTTGGCATGGCTTCCTCGCTATCCTGCCTGCTCTGCCCCGCTTCGAACTGCATGCGCGACAGAAATTTGTTAGGCAAAGCGGAAGGAAGTTGAAGCATTGACAATGGCAACAACACGAAACACAGCGAGCAAACAACAATGGTGGACAGCCATGAGACGCAGTCGAGTCGTCCTCATCGTCAACGTTTCTGTTGCTGCTGCTGCTGTCGCTGTCGCTTCGAGGCCCCTGGCGTGCAATGATGAGGATGAAGCGATGGTACCACGGCATGACGGCTTGACGGAATGACGGAATGACGATGACGACGACTACGACGACTACGACGACAATGACGAGTTGGAAAAGCATTGTACTTAAATCGGCATTTAACGACTTGTAAATGGGAGGGCAACCGCGTGGCTCGAGGGACGCACAAAATGTGACAAAAGCCACAGCAATGCAGCCTACAGAATAGCCTGAGTTTGCAGCCCCCTCCCAGCTCGTACACCCGCTCCCAACCTGCAATACTACCTATCCGTCTGCCAAGCTCACTAACTGACTGACTGACACACAACAAATAAGCCAACTCAGCGCGATTTGAGACTGCCTACAGTAAAAACCCTATACCTTTGACAAACATACGATTACTTTCCAAAAGTAAATAAATAAATAAACATGCAGCGCGTAACTGAGAATAGATTTCAGTGGATCAGTATCCTGTATCTTTTACACGGGGTTAGTTTAATAGATCTTTACAGAATTGTGAAATTTTCTTTTAAAGCGTGGAGTTTCGGTTTCCCAGTCTCTTAAACTAATTTACTTTTGTGATTTTCTTATAATGGAAAATAATTAGGGACTGCACTTCATAGCAGATTGTTTTCGGGAGCTATCCTTGCATGTTTACACCACCCTTTAAAACTGAAGTGAAATGAATCGGAGAACCATCTGAAGTGAAACCCAGCAGTCGTTTAGACGATTCAATATGTAAGTGTAGCCTGAAATTCCTTATAAATGGACCAAGCCAATAATCTATTTAGCTTATGAATTTGTAAAAATATGAAATCAGATCAAGCATACCCGTAAGACTGATTGGTTTCTGCGATCGGTAGCCGGCATGCAGAGAGAATTATGCATTATTATTGAAGCTTTAAGTTCCGATAGCAAAAATGTGCGCCTTAACATTCGCATTATTTTCTGCATCCCCCTAAGTAGTTGATTGGGTGCGTAGTAAGTTTTTTTGTTTCCAAACATTAAAGATTGGCTCTGAGGAACCCATATTTTTAGGCCGACGAGGTGGTCACAAATTATTTATTACACTATTTATGGCTTAGAGACCCTTGATTTGGCTTAAACAGTTACGCAGATACTCTATACCGAATAGACTGGAAACAATTCAAAGTAAATGCAAAAAGAAATGTAAAATATACAAGTACATATATTTGTGAGGGCTATTTGGAAAGCTGTCTAAGCAGGTTTCGAGCTAACCACGACCACCCTGCCAATGTGTGCAAATTTTCTCAACCACAGTGCAAGCAGAGCTGCGACCGATGATGAAACCTGAGTTTCTAATTGAAAGCCGAAATCGATGTTTTAGTGTTTAAGTCAAGCCCCTTTGGCGACGGATGGACGGACGAACGGGCGAGACATGCATCTAGAGTTTCACGTCGACAATAACCAAGTCAGCAGAACATCAGAAGACGATTCGGTGATACTTTGAGGCCAGTGGCTCGAATGGGATCAGATGGGTTTCATGAGAGCAGGGAGCACTGTATGTACTCGTATGTTTACTCCAACAAATTATTGCATTGCGTGCGTATGTATAAAAAATTGCAACTTGTAAATGAAACTAGACCCACTCACTGACTCACTGACTCACTGGCTGAGTGGCTGAGTGACTCACTTACTGACGTTCTCGTCCTACGTCCTACTACGGCCTCGGCTGGCACGTGTACGAGCACGGCGGAAGCGGGTGGCCTGCTGGTGTGCGGCCCATACGTATTAGTAAAGTGAATAGTTTTTATTTGTTACGGAAATGTGAAAATTATTGTAAGTTGTTCAAGTTGTTCGAGTTGTTGTTCGAGTTGTTGTTCTTGCTGTTGCCTATGCTGTTGCTGTTGCTTTTTGTTTTTTGTTTTTTGCTGGCATGCAAATCAAACTGCAGCACACTTTCGTCATCCACTCCCAGGCAGTCACTTGGCCATTCAGTCATTACTTGGACATTTTTGTGCATGCAGCGCAGGTGACACTGACAGCTGAAACATTTTTCTTTAGAGGGGGGGCAGCCCCATTGCCTAACGCTTTCAGAAAGTAACGCGCAATGCATGAAAAATGCATTAGGCATAAGCATGCTCGAGCTTAGAGTTGTCCATGCACGCCCAAAGCTGCTTGCCTCCTAAAAGCAAATGGAAAGGACACACAGACTTAAGGAGAATTAGCATACGGAGCTTCGGCTCGCAGTCGCACCTAAAATCTGGCTCTGACTCTGACTGAGACTCTGACGCTGACTTGAAAGGAAAGGAAAGTAAATTGCTTCAGATATGCAGCACGCAACTGATAAAACGCCTTTGCATTATTGTTGTTGTTGTTGTTGGTAAGTGCACTTAAATATTTGTTGTTGTTGTTTTTTTTTTCTATCGTTCTTTGGCGATAGATAAAATTCTTCAAAGTCACTAATTAACTAATCGTCTCAATGATATGTCTTGCAGTTTCTTGTTACCGTTGCTGTTGTGGCTGTCTTCTCTAGTCTTGATGTATTCGGCTATTCGTTGGGTTGTGTGTGTCTCTGGGAAAACAGACGTCGCTTGGATCTGCCAGCCAAATAAACACTAAGATCGAGAGCCTAGCCATCCGCTTGACCACGGCAAAGCCCTGAAGCTTTCGATCGAACGAGGGAGTCAAAGTCTGCGATGCAGCCACAAAGTGTGCAACATGGTTTGAACAGCTTTTGCTTTTGCTTTTGCTGCTTCCTACTCGCACTCGTATTTGCCATTCAATTGATGGCCACTAAAGAAGGCCGTTACCGTTGACGCTGACTTTAATGTGCATTATTTAAAGTCGCTCACAAACACCTACACCTACACCTACACCTACTCACACACATCTGCAACTACACACCTACACAGCCAACTAGTGCTCCACTGCAGCTGCTGATGACTTTTGGCTTGCACTTTGAGTTGTTGATTTATTTATGTGCCGCCATTGCACTTTCCACTGTGGTTGCTGCCACTGTTGCTGCCTCTGTTGCTGCATCTGCCTCTGCCTCTGCTTCTGCCTCTGCCTCTGTTGCCTGCCAACGTCTTC